TGAGCACTCGATTTCTTCGTCAAGCTGGTTGGGATTGCATTCATTACTCTTGGGGCTTTGCCCCTAGCCGGCTAGGCGTCGTCCAAGAGCTCCCGATCTGTAGGAGAACCATGGAAAGTTTGTATCACCCTCGACTTTTTAATGAAGAACTCAAGTTTACCTTTGTGGTTGCTTGAGAGAGGCAAGGAGGTGAAAGAGACTCCGACCTTAGTGGTCACCTTGACAACGAGGACATAGGCAAGCCTTAGTGGCGAGCTGAACCTCAAGATAAATCCTTGTGTCCTGCGTGCTTATTGTTTTTGTGATTATTTGAGATTACACTTATTCTTCGTTCTCTCTCCCTCAAGCTATTTCTTAGGTATTGGTCCCGATCTACAAATTGGAGGTGCAAGGGAGTACCACATCACCTTCATCTACATCTTAGGAAGTGGGGTGATTCACAGATCTAAATTTGAAGTAGATTTGACTCTTATTTCGTAGCTCTTTATAGGTGTCGGAAGTTCCAGCAGTTTACGTCAGAACTTCCAACATGCATTGGAACTTCTGGTCGCTAGAAGTTCCAACGGCTCCCGGAAGTTCCAATTGTCAGAAGTTCCGACAACTGTCAGAACTTTCAGGTGTCAGTGTCAGAACTTTCGATAGTGTACTGATCCGATGTTTTAGTTTGTGTTAAGTTTTCAGATACGCCTATTCCCCCCCCTCTAGGCTTAGCAAGGATCCTTACATGACCGAATATTCAGTTGTGCTTGTTGTAGTTTACATAGTCATAATAGCCATGCATAGTAGCAGAAGTAGATGTCTAGACCAAAGTTGTTAGTGCGCCCCTCGAACCGAAGTGATCGAGGAAGGTGAAGTAGACCTTAGTGCCGAACGAGTTGATTTAGCCCCTCAAACTAGGCGATGAGGGCAAGTTGTCATAAACGTTGATGTCAAAGGTATCGACAAAGGTTCTTGAGTCATTGTAGTGGCCAAAGATGATAGTGAAGCCCCTTTCTGCAGATGCGTTGGTGAAGACGAGTCATCGTAGTTGCCGAAGATGTTGGCAGCCCCTCATGCTGAAGTATTGGCAGAGGCGAGTCGTTGTGGACGCCGAAGATGTTGGCGAAGGCCCTCGTGCTAGAGGTGTTGATGAAAGCAATGTAGGTGTGGATACTGAAGATGTCCGCGAAGCCCCTCGTGTCAAAGTTTTGGCGATGTAATCACCAAAGATATTGGTGAAGATATTTTTTCAATGTTGACGTCAGAGAAGCCCTCTAGTTGTTGGCATCGAAGGTTAGTTATTATAGTCACCGAAGATGATGGTGAGGCCCATTGCGTGGAAGTGTTGGTGTGGGTGAGTCATTGTAGTCACTGAAGTGTTCGCGAAGCCCCCTTCTGCTGAAGTGTTTGCCAGGAGCGACGTTGGGGGAGCCCATGGGGTATATGGGCCAAGTATCCCCGTAGAAGAGGCCCAATTAGTTTCCTCAAAAAAAAGTAGCTAGAGAGTAGAGTCATATGAAATCTAAACCCAACAAGGGGTCACTTGTAAATAGCCATTGCCTATATAAATGTCTAAGGGCATAAGTGGGACTCACCTCCTACTCATTTTCACTTGTTCAACACTAGTCCGTCCCCTCTCCACCGCCGAGCTATCTCCTCCCTCCCCTTTTTCTTTCTTGTTCATATTCTTGTAGATATTCTACATGCATTTGAGTATTTGTGTTCATAATTTTTTTTGTTTAGTTAAATATTTATGTGCATAACTTATTAAGAATTTTCATGTTTTCTACAAAATCGTAAAATGAATAGCTTTTACTATAGCCTACTATAGCTTTTAATAGCTTTTGGAGAAGATCGCCACTAAATATCATAGCCTGCTATTCAAAACATTTACTAACACACATATAGTCGACCTCAGCTACAGCTGACAGCTAGCACAAGGCACAAGGCACAACTAACAAATCATGTTGCTGTCATCATCCAGTACTCCTTACTCACTCCAGTATAAGTAGGATCGAGAGGGTCTGTGAGGTGGGGAACACAACACTAGAGCAAAGCAGATCAAAGAGGTCTAATCATCCAGAGCAGAGAGTGGAGAGTGGCTTGCACCTTGCAGCATGGTGAGAAGGACGACATTTGTGCTAGCCGTGGTGGTGGTGCTGGCGCCGCCGCTGGCCACCGGCGTCGAGTTGTTCACAGCGGAGGATATGGAGTCATGTGGCTTTGTACGAAAGCTGGGGCGCGCGCTAAAAGGTGGTGCGCGAGCCGGCGAGAAGCTCCGGCACATCTTCAAGGAGACAGGCGACAGGCACTACACGCTGGGCCTCAGTGTCTTCGCATACAGGACGACCGACGTGGTTCATACGGCCTACACCTGTCAGAGGTCTGTCGTGGATGGCGGGGAGCGCCACGTCAACGTCGACGGGAAGTTAATCAACGTCACGCCATCGGAAGAAAAGGAGGGACTACCGGATACCATCGATTGGCGCATAGCAGACTGCAACGGCCACCGTGCCGTGCGTGACCATGGTCAAGGACCAGGGTACTGTTTGCGAGTGCTGCTGGGCCATGGCAGCAGCCGGCGCGCTGGAGAGCTTGAATGCCATAACAACGGCCCGGTGGACCTGTTGGTGCACCAGCTGGTGGACTCTGACACAAGGAACGGTGGCTGTAGAGGCGGCTTCGTGTTTAAGGGCTTTGACTACATAATCAACAATGGTGATATGGCGTTCGAAGCCGCCTCCCGCTGTACAGAGGAAGTCAGGACACATGCTAGACCGCCGCCAAATCCCCCATCGTGGTCATGGTCGGGTTCAACTGGATCGCGGCCTTCTTGGACGCAGAGGCGGAACCAGGGGGCCAGCAGGGGCCGCGGCCCCCCTGAGCGGCCAGCAGGTGAGCAGAGGGTCTGCACTATGCAGGCGCAAGAGCAGCCGAGCAGTGCAGATGCAGCAGCCGAGCAGAGGTCTACTCCTACAGCTAAACAGCAGCCGAGCAGAAGTCTACTCCTACAAGCTAAACAGTAGCCACATCCGGGACGCTAGCTAGACGCACAAGCAAAGCAATTGCTAATTGTACTTGTTTGTATACGTAGTTTCTATTTCCAAAAGTACTTGTTTGTTTAATTGCCCTACAGACTTTAAGCAAAGCATACGTAATTTCTATTTCCAAAAGTACTTGTTTGTTTAATTGATACTATTCCTAACTTTTTTAATTGCAAATTTGTTTGTATTCTAATTTACTATTCTTTATATTTCTACAGGTTAATTCGACTTGTCCTACTTTTTTAATTCCTAACTTTTTAATTCTTTATATTCCTATTTTTTCTAGCTTGCAACAACAGAACGATCATTAAGCTTTTCAAGACAAGGCTTCGAAATAAAAAAACGAGACTCAAATGAAAAAAAAAAAATCTCTTATCCTCTCTTCCGAAAGTCACTTTTGTGTGTTGTCATAGCAAAAAAAAAATATACATATGAGTATAAATATTATATATGTACATCAAAATATGGTCATGTTACCCATATTTATTGGCTTGGCTGGCCCCCTTTATCATTTTGCCGGTTCCGCCACTGCTTGGACGTCGAACTGTGCCTATGGTGGTTACCATCGACGCCTCCGATGATTCCTTCGGCAAGCGATACCCCGGCGGCGTGTACCGAAGGCCCTGTGGACACTTGCTGAACCACGATTGGTTACAGCACCACCGGTACCACTTTCGACGACTCTGTGTTAATGGGGGCGTGGTTTGGTAATACACCAATTTGGCCACTATTAGTAGATAAAATGATTTCTTTCACTTCACAATCCCAAATAATTCGTTTAGGAGTCGGTACATAAAGATTTCATTTCATTTCTTCAATTTGCGATCGAAACTTTAATACAACCTTTTTTTGATCCATCAGGAGGGGGAGACCCAATATTATACCAGCATCTCTTTTGGTTCTTCGGTCATCCAGAGGTGGATTGCTAGATTGTAATATTGGAGAAGGTTGGGGGGAACGGGTACATGCGAATGCAACGCAACAGCAACCGCGATCCAGTTCTCAATTTGATGTTTCAGTCAGTTGTTTAATTGGACAACAAGCTAGCATTTTAAAATCAGAAATCTATCTGTGATGCGTTCATCCTTAAAAAAGAGTTCATTCCGTACCTGCCTGTTTAGTTTATTTCTTTTGATGACAGTGCCTACTTCTTCTTCGATCATCTTCTCAAATGATGAATGATTCTTTTTTTTTTGTGAAATCACTACTTGTTGCTCATACTTCTCGCACGCACATGATGAAATTGATCACTATGAAGGGAACTGTGATCAGGTCTGGTGGTGTCAAGATGATTGAGTATGACAGGGATCAAATGTGCAGAAAGTGCAAGTATGTGTGTCATGCAGCTTCAGTCAGATTTGTACCATCTGTACTTGTACCAGCTCAAGACTCAAGTTGATCCACTGGCCATCAAGACTGTGGATCCAAGTTATTATTTTATCATCCATTGTGGTGGAACAACAATATCGATACAAATCTTTGTGCTTAAGAAGACCCAGGATGAGTGAGAGCGAGAGCCCTGATTTTTTTTAGAAAAGCGGCAAGGGATTTGCCGGAGTTTTATTAGACGAGGGCGAGAGCCCTGATTTTGCGACATGATTTTTGCACCATATATATAGCAATCACACACGTAGTGAACTGAACCAACCAAACAGTTGGTAAGTCAACAACTTATGCAAATCTCCATTCTAACCTCCAATGTTTTATGTACACTTACTCCGTTACATCCATCCAAACAGTGTTTGCAGTTACAAGTCATGCCCAATCAATACTAAGAATGATGAATCGAGCTATCCAATCAATCTCATGATCCCAACGCATCAGAAAATCAAACTCTAATAAAGGCAACCCCCATTCATCAGCATCTGCAGTTAGCAAAGCACTCGACATCCATCAGTTCAGCTTGTAAGCCCAGCTGTGCTCCTTCAGGTAGGCCTGCACTGCTTCCTTGATGGCTAGATTCGGAACCAGCTGATGCTATTTCAAAGGCTCTCGTGTCACCGGGTCGAAATTGCCAACCTGAAACAGCAAGGCAATGGTTAGGTTAGGTTAGGCTAATGGTAACCACATCTGTCATTGTGTACATACAAAAAGTAAACAAGTTCACAAGTTAGCGAAAGGGCACACCTTGTGGAGATGTTCAACAAGTGTAGCCCTCTCATATGTTACACCACTGGGTGTGATCACTGGATCTCGAAAAATCTCGAAAGTTATCTGGCAGCAAAGGTAATCGGGCACCTAGGGATTCAGCATGGCAGCAGCAGTTTCAGATCACAGGTATAGAAACCAAAGGGTTAACAAAAACAAAAGTTTATTCTGAGCATTGCTCATACATCCGCTGGTGTATCGGCAATTGTCGCTTGGCTGAAGACCTCCGATAGCAGTTTGAATTGCTCTGAATACTCATTGCTTGACCCATTGGAGTCTTCCTCAAGTGTACCAGTAAGAAAGTGATGCTCCTGCAGAGCACTTTCACAAGCTTCCCTGCATGTCCACGGGATACGCTTCTGTTAAGAGACTTTAACAACCGGAAACTTCAACTGATCAGTCATATCAAGACAAGAAGTGCTTGATCTAAAGCAAAATGATAGTGCTATGTTGTTTTAGGTTTAATATCTAACATACTTCAGACTTTGCATCCTCCATAGTCGTTCAGTGGAATGCTTCTCCCAATCTAAGTATTTTGCCTTTGCAAGGACCTGCCAAATTTCCTCGGCCATTTCATCCGTTGAATTCGCGGACTTCAAGAGAATCAGAGCCTGTTTCCCATGATAAGACGAGCAAGAGCTTAGAAATAATGTGACAGGACAAGACATCAGTAGCCGGAGTCAAAACAAGGATGTCAATACATAGTTGTAGTGTGTAGTGACCCAGTTAGCCACCCTTAGCAAAGGAACCAAGCATCCCCATAGCCTTAGCATGTCACCAGTTACTAGTAGTATATAGGTTGTTATTACAACTCTTGACTCAGTGGCACTTCACAGTTCGCAGGGAGAGGCGCCCAGGAATATACTAATTTTTACACATTTATTACATCACTGTGCTTCTACTTCTCAAAAGTAAAGTACCGACAAGGAACAATATATCCACCACAGAACAGAGGAAACAGAATATCAAGATAATATTATGCGATTATTAATTATAGTTGAGTACTATCGACCACTGCTATTGAAAGGTTTGAGTAAATGGAAACAGGTATAGATATGTCGGAATTGCATTACAAGGTGAAGAAAACAACTTTAGATTAACAACTAACAAGGTAAGTACAACTTAGATGCATGAAACAACCACATGTTTGTACAAGTCTAGAAACTTTCAAGTTAACTCTTATGGTAATTGTTCCTCAGAGGTCAGCGCCATTTCACATCTGCTATGGTAGTACATATTTGGATGTTTTATTTATCATAAATGGAAGTTAGTGCATCTTAAATTAAATATGGAAGTTAGTGCATCTAGTTGGTGTTTCAGGGGCAAGATGTAATCATGGTAAGACAGGCAAAAATGCCTCCATATGCGGTGAATCAAACTACTCCTACACAAGGAAACTCCTTGAGAATTCACATCATACGTACAAGGGACAAATGAGGAACCTTTTCGAATTCCTTGATAGCAAGAGCAGACTCTTCTCGAGCAGTGCACACCCCAGCAGATAGTGCCCCTACATCACACAAGGAACAGAGCAATCACGTGGCCTCACTGGTGACTTTTTGTCTTTATTTATCAATCGAACGGTTAGTTAAGGATAGTGATTACATAATATAGTGGTTAGTTGAAGTTGGCACATTAGTTTTGAGAGGAAAGAAGAAATAAGAATGTGACCTTGACTAAAGTGTGATCAAGCGCGAGAGCCTTCCTGCTGTCCTCTTCGACCTTGGCCCACTCCCTGTGCACGAGATTTCAGATATTCGTTTCTTTCTTGCCAAAAAGGGTGGGAGAGGAGGTAGCAATTACTAGCAAACAGTAAACTCACTCACTTGAGCTTGAAATGGCACAGGCCCGATTCATCCAGTAGATGGCCACGTCGGGGCAGAGCGCAATTGCCTGGCGAGGAAACACAGATTAGGCAGTCAAGAAACAACCAACCAAGGAGAAGAAGAAAAATCTTTGGTTCGTGTAACACACGGCACGGAACCAAAGAGAAGAAGACGCGGTCATTGCAGGGGATCAAAGGATAGGAGGACGCGTGAATCACATCGTGGTGGAGCGCATTCTAAAATTGGAAGGAATCTCCGAGCTCAGGCCACAGCCAGCTCGCGGGAGTGGATGGAGGGCACGGGGGAATTTGGGGGAAGTCAGGGAGGAGGGCACTGGGAGGTTTCTTGCCTCGGTGTAGCAGTCGATGGCGCCGCCGAGGCGGGCCTTCTTGAAGCAGACGTTGCCCTCGATCCGGCGGAGCTCCGCCTGCCGAGCCACGCCGTCCCCGCCCGCCGCCATGGCTTTGGCTTCCCCTCCCCGCCGGACACAGGCAACAGACAGCAGCAGCAGGGAAAGACAAGGGGAGTGACGCCAAACGCAAGTAGGAGTACGTCTTCAATCAAACAAGGAAAGATGTGGTGTTGGTTGTTGAGTTCAAAATCCACGTACCGCTAGAGTGGTAGTTCCCCGATCTTTTATATATATATATATATATATATATATATATATATATATTGGTAGCCTAATATTATCTTTTGTTAATATTGGGAGAGTTGCTGTGACAGTACTATAATATATCTTTCCCAATATTCATATGGAAGGTGGGTCCCACAGAAGTGTAAGAGAAAATATGGCTGAAAAGTGTAGTTGAGATGTTTCCTAGGGTATTGGGGGAGTTGTATCTCCCCTTTCTCTGAGGGGAGATGAGGAAAATATTGGTGGCCATAAAAAAAAGTAGAGGTGTTGGGGAACTGCTGGAGCAAAAAAAAAATATAGTTGTCCCTAATATGACAGTTTTATAGAGATAGGAGGAGGTATTGAGTAACTGCTGGAGATGCTCTAACTTCTTTAAGTACTCATTTGTTCGAAAGAAAGAAAAACTTACCTTAAGGAGTCGAACAATTTTAAATTTAACTCTAATATATAAAAATACTAATATTTATAATACCAAATAAATTTTATTAGATTAATTGTAGAATAAATTTTTCAAAGTAAATCTGTTTGTTAAATAAAAAAATAGTAAACCTATTTGGAGGCATAAACATTGACATTATTTTTTTCTATTACTAATTTAGTTAAATTTTAGTTGAAATCTAGAATTAGATTCCTTTTGGACGATGATTGTGACGTACGTCGCGGGTTTAAGAGCATGTTCAGCAGGACTGAAAAATAAGATAAAATACTGTTCCAGCTGATTGTTGTTAGAGAAAAATACTGTTTTTGCTGAAATCACTGTTCACGTGAACAGTGATTCGTGATGGGGCTGCCTAGCCAGCCAGCCGAACAGGCTCTAAGGATACGGCACCCATTATTGAATAGTTTTTCCGTAACCATGCACTTGTGATACTTCAATTCAGTTCATAATTTCATATACAAAGAATCAAGGTCCTCATGACAACACAAAACAAAACCAAACTATGTACGCCAAACGTGGTCAGACATTCAAACCCTTAGGACCTGTCTTTGCTGAAGAGCAAAATATTGCAGGTACGGTACTTGGTCATACCTGCTTGTGGCAAAAATGTGGCAGTTGACATCCACGTCGGCTACCAAAATGCTCAGTCAACTGTCAGTTGCTACAACAGTGGTCATAGGCATACTCTCACCGTTGTTTTATATATCGTATTAGTTTTATCCTGAGTCAAATATTTTTAAAATGTGGCTAAAGTTAGAGAAATCTTGGACTTAGGACAAACCTAATACGATATGTAAAAAAACAGAGGGCAAGGCAGGGCAGGGCACAAGAGAAGAAAATTTCACCAGCAACACTTTAACTTCTGCCCTTTCCAAAATACAGTAGATTGGCACTACACATATGTTCTGCCGAATGTGTAACTACACAGATGTGAATATCTAATATCAACTGCACCCTGTGATATAATCACCAGGGTCAATTAGTATTAATAGTCTATACTCTCAAGTCCCAAGTCTTGTTTTCTCTGCCAATGACAACTCAACAAATGGACAGCTCTTGAACTTCATCAACTGTACAAAGGAAGAGATCAAATCAGGTATCTGTTTTGTAGCTAGCAATTCAAAGGTCAGGTAATCACAGCAGCCTCATACCAGCAAGTTGGGTTCCAAAGTTAGCTTGAACGTCAGCATCCGAGTTGAATTCCTGTGTAACAAACAAATTTTAGTAACAATGTTTTCAAGGATTAGTTGCCATTGGAGAAAACTCCAAGTGCGATTGAAATCTAGTAGAGTTTATATATGTGTGTGCCTGCCATGCTAACAGATCAAATTTAGAGTTCCTACTCGAGAGGTATTTAGAGGGCTGCTGAAAATCACCACCTTATCTTGACTGCTAAATCAAACTAGGAAACTCTTTCAAATCTATAGAGCTGTCAACCTAGATGTTTTCAGGTCATAAAGATTGATGAAATTCTAGAATAAATATGTTAACTAGCACCTGACATTGGGATAACTGGAAGCAACAACCTTGAACATCATTTGCCACTCCATCCATTCTGAACTAAAGCTATGCTAATGTCTAGCTAACACGTGTTGTACCACAAATCTAGCAGTAAATGTGAACGAGGCCAAATGACAATGGGAATGTGAGACCTACCCTCAAAACATGGTTGATTTGAAATGTAAGAAATGTTTCCTTTAGTTCCTTGGCTATATCGCACAAGACAGCCATATTATCACTCCTAGCACGCCAGTCACCTCGAACCTGCTCCAGAAATCATAACTGTTACTCTTGTTATGAAATAGTTGAATGTTGCTAGAGCTGCTTGCAAATAGTTGAATGTTGCTAGAGCTGCTCGCAGCTAAGACAAGCTATTCCAAGTGCTCTAGCATCTAGGCTCACCAGACTTCATATGCTGTAGAAATGAAGGCCCGTTAATACAAATGAGACCTGATTCTATCATTGTGACGTATACTTTGGGCCATGTATTTTAAGTGATTGGAATAAAAAGATTCCTTTGGTGAAGAAAAACTGCAGAATATGACTTTCAGATCAAAGTCCACGAGGAAAACCATTTAAAATTGCCAGCCCTCCACACACTTAGTGTTTTAGTGGAATTTGAAGACTTAGAATGAACTGCAGCACTCGTTACAAAAGCCGAGAAATAGCAACTCACCTGGTTACAGACAAGCTTAGAATCACCTTGACAACGAATATACTTGAATCCCTTCTTGGAAGCATAATTTAGCCCCAGGATCAATGCACGATATTCAGCAGCGTTGTTGGTCATAACACCCAAACCCTCACGTAGTAGAGCAATCTTCAGTAGAAGGGGGGAACACAATAAATAGCTAGGAATGATAATTGAAGAAAAGAAGAAAAAAAACAGCTGAGCTAAGACTGGTGTACATACCACAGATCCATCTAACCGCCGAATTATGACTCCAGCACCTGATTTCCCAGGATTTCCTTTACAAGCTCCGTCAAATTCAAGAATACAAGAGAGCTGTAAAAGATAGAGTGCACTGGTGGGAAGAGCTCAAGATCCCCAAGACAGTGAAGGTACATCACAAATATACATGCAGACATCAACCCATAACTACATAAGTACAGAACAAATCAGGCAAGAAGCCTTCATTCATATACTCACTTCACTATCAGGTAATGTTTCCAGATCAGCAGCTTTGGAATGCTGTGACGGTCTGGTTTCCTTCAGAAAATGATAGTCGGTGTAAGTAAACAAGATAATAACAAATTCATAAGTACTATAGGGAGCAGTTTTGAAGAGACCATACATTCACACTTATCATGAAGAAAAAAATATATATCTTACCATCTCCTGTGACATTTTCAAAGTAGATTGTTTGGTTTCATCAGGTTGCTGAAATGAAACTTGCATAAATCAGTACTGTACAATAAATTCATGGAAAAAGAAAACAAAATCAAGTAGCAACAGTGCAACACAACCACCTGAAGATATGACTTTCAAAGATCAGCTTGACACTCAAGTTGTCTGAGACAAAGTAAGGCCCTGAGAATCAGAGGCAGTTGCATAGATAATACTATATAATGTATAGACACAACTATTTTCGTGATAATAATGTGTTGGTTTATATATTATTACTATATGAATGGATACCATGTCTAGAAGTCGGATTAATCTGTAGTGTAAAACATTGCCAAGTGATGGAGACATAGAGCACTGCATTGTTTACCTGGAAAGGGCAGGGAACCAGATCGCCAAACAATTCGTCCCTTGCATCTGCTGCATCAATGGAATAGACAGCGTTCCTTAACCCACGCGCAGCAAGATATTCCTCAGTTTCTTTACGCAGAGAATAGCCTTTGTAGACAGTGACTGGAGGGTCACATACCTAGGTCCGAAGCACGATACATTTCATATCATAAGCAAAAATGAAGCAATAGCAATCGCTGCACGTGGTAAGGGAAGGAAAAGTCATGATGTGCCTGTCTATCGTCCTCACCGAATTGCTGACTTGGGCTTGGCAATCACTGAGGGTCTTGTAGATGCCAATGACATCCCCTTTGCGGATGACATAGAAGGGCTCTCTGGAAGAGTCCATTGGCGCCTTTGCGGCAAGAATGGAGGAGTGCATTGGCGCCTTTGCGGCAGATTTCTTGGTGGACCGTCGAGCGGAGGAGGAGGAGAAGTGGTGGATAGGCGGCGATGCAGTAGGCCTGGGAGACAAGAGTGGGTAGTGCCTCCTCCATGCCGCTCTGGGAATGAATCCACGGAGACAAGAAGAGCAACTCCAAATCACCATGGAATCACAGGAGGACAGGATGAGGTGGGGCTGGGGCGTACCAGCAAGCAATGGCTGACCTAGAATTCTTGAGCATTGGTACTGGGCGTTAACAAAACATGGAACAGTGATGAAGACCTAAAAATTCACAATACGAAATAAAGCACAAATACCCTGCTGGATACTGCACAGCACGGCCTGAGACGAAGTGCGAAGCAAGCGGGCTGCAGGCACCGGAGCAGCAGTTGTGGTGGCGCACCCGCTCATGTCGGCGGCGACGGAGGCAGGGCGGGGTTGCACGAGGATGGGAGGGATGTCTTCTTTACTGGGCTCTGGGCCGCTATTTTAGGCCCACCAGTTTTCTTTGATGTACTAGTAGATGTTTTTTTCTTTTTGCTGATGTTTTTTTCTTTTTGCTATTTTCTCTTGCTTTGCTTAATCAATTCTCCCTCTAGATGTGTACTTTGTAAAAAAACTAATTGATTAATGCTAGCTTTTAAAAAAATAATTAATATACTATAGATGATTGGAAACCAATTCTCACCAGCTTCTTCTCCCTCCGTTTGAAATTAATGATTTTGACCTATACAGCTATACTCTATTTGTGTCGTTTACATGATACAACATCAGTCATAACTACTTGTCTCAGGGGAATCCAATGGCCTAAATTTATATTACCGAATTCGTGTATTTTAATGAAAAATTTTGATCAAAGGCGTGAAATAACTTTCCAGAATTTGTTTATTATGGGTGCTTGGGACAAGACACAAGAGGAAGAGAGATGGGGTGGGGTAGTATATGTGTTAGTAGAAAACTAGAAATGACCTATACAGCAACAGTGATTTTCTGCAGCTGCATGGCTGTCCGAACAACTGCTTGTTTATTCTCCGTGCACAGCACAGCAATTCGAAGACAGAATGGGCACGGGCACAGCAAAGCGCCCTATCCATCCTAGTACATTCAATTCACAGCAGGCATTTGTTGCTGCTGCTGTTATTCTTTACACGTTTGATATCTCCATCACCACTACTACAAAGCACTAAGGTGCGTATAAGGTTTCCAAACAAAGATGGATTGCCTCCCAGAAGCGTGTCAGCCTGCTCCATCACACACCATTCATCTGAGCCTGGCCACTCCCTCCCAGAACCAACTCCTTGAACCGAGCTATGCATCCCATTGCACGCTCGAATTCGCCGCTCTCCAGAGCAAAGCTGAAACGGCAGTAGTCGGGGATCCCCGTCCAGGAGCTGCTGTTTATGCAGAGCCCAGTGGCCTTGAGGATGGCTTCCCTGATGTTGCTCGCATCCAGCTTGCCCTCGAAACCATCAGCTTTGAAGGGCTTCCCGATGTAGGCAGTGGGCTTCGCCAGCATTGAGATGCCACCGCAACCAATGGCAACATCCCAGCCACAGCTCTCCAGAGTCTGTTCATTGTACAATGACAAAATGAGGTTGAGTGACCAATATAACATTCAGTTCATAGCTAGATGTGTTTATCAAGTCACAGTCAGATATTTAAATGTAGTGAAATGGGTATAATCAGCTACATTCTGTTGATCTTACTTCAACAGGGCACTAGTGTGAAAAGGATAGATGGAATCAGACAAGAGTTTCAGAGTGTATGATGGGCTAACCTTTATCAAGTGGTTGGCGCGATTCTTCAGTTCCTCCTTCTGCTCCACCATTAGATTGGAGAAATGCTCATCCTTCTGGTTCTTAAGGCCCAGTAGCTTTTTGAAAGTGTACTTCAATGTGATGTGCGGCCGACTCAAGCTGGGGAAACTATGAAACGTCTCAGCCAGTGATGAGTCGCTCAATATCACAAACCCAAAGTCATGCCCTGCTGCAGTCAGCTCAAAGGACAGCTCTCCAAGCAGCACCACAGAGAATGATGGCTTTGAACGTTTCAAAGAGGAAAGGCATCCTTCCAGATTCCACTGACTCCAGCCATCAGTTCGGTACTCCAGGCCAGAGAAGGAGGTATCTATCACTACCCTAGCTCCATATTCAGCGCATACTGAGAGCAGCTCTTGAATATCATTGTCACTGTACAGAAAACCAGTAGGGTTGATCGTGGGGCCAGAAATATACACCCATGGCCGAGATACATTCTTAAGAGTGTCAGCTAGAACCTTTGGTTCAATCCTGAATCCGGTACCGAAATTCGTCGGTATAGTCAAGGTGCTTGCGTTCACAAACTTTGCTGCAGATACGTAATGGCCATTGGTGCCCAAGGGGAAAAGCAAGGTGCCCTGTTCTTGCATGCAACAAAGAACAAGCTTGTTGAAGAGTGCTAGGGAGGTGTTGCCATAGATAATTTCTGAGCAACCATCTGCGGATAAACCATAGCTATCTTTCACCAGCTGTTGGATGCTGGAATGGACATCAGTTTCAGAATCAGTGATGTTCTGCCTGACAAAACTTTCAAAAACAGAGGCATTCACTGCAGAAGGTACTGGCAGAAAGCTCCGATCTAAATCCATATGAATAATGCTGGATTCAGTTGAATCAGGAACGAAAAATTCAGCAGCCTTTAGTGTAGACATAGCTGGATCAGAAAATCCTATCATCTGCTGAGGTATCACTTCTGCAGGTTGTCTCTGAAAAAAGAGCAAGGATAAACAAGGCAACAAATAAAAGGATACCATTATTAAGGTCTGAAAAACAAAATAAGTCATCCTACTACACATTTAGCTGTTCATTTTGAGTAGCTACTATCCAACTAGGTGAAGATAAGGACTACATTACTTATGCTAAGGGGAAGGTTCATTAATCATTACAAAGGGAAACTGTTGAGCATGAAAGTTAATGGAAGCATGGTTTATGGATGAGGTAAACCCTTTACCTCTTGCTGTGGATGCCGGTCAGCAATTTGAAATGCCAGAAGCTCATGGAAAAGGCAGCCGTAATAGTGCTGGCTGATCAGAGATGTGTGGCCTTCAAATAGCTCAATAGTTTGTGATAATGCTTTATATACAGCTGCATCTTCGGAAATGGCAAAAGCAACTTCCAGATCAGAATACACCTACAAGTTTAATCTGCAAAATCAGATAAAGCGATCACAAATGGAACAGATAACAGCATGCCAGTAGAGTGCACCAATGGAAATCAATTGGTGTGTTAAAGTTTTAGGCACCTGATTCTTTACTAAACCACACAGTATAGCTGCATGCGATGGTAATGTCTTTCCAGCAAGATATTTCAATACGCCACTAGAGCTTGGCAGACTAGACAACTCCAAATGCTCAGAAATATCCAGGAACAACCGGGAGCCAACATCTTTTGTTACGTTTAGTAAGTTCTCAAAAGCAGCACTGGTGATAGCCTCAAATTGAGCCATGCCAGTAACAACCACCTGAGGCTTCAGCTTCCTGATCAACTCAATCAGCAAATCTGATTGGCGTGGTGCCTCAATTACAGTGACAGTACCATCAGCGTGATTATAATCTGCCCTTCCCTGAAATTTCATAAAAATTTGTGTGTATTGCAGAACATCCAGACCCATGACCATTCACAGAGTAAGCAAGGTACCTCGATTGCTAAGGATGTTAACCATTGCTTGGGCAAGTGTCTGGTCAAATGTTCATCAACAATTGCAAGCGCCGGTGAGAACAATTGAAGAGCATTCTCTATTGCCACAGCGCGAGAAGGAAACACAACGACATTCTAGTGACAGGAGAAAAATGAATATTATGTGAATCATAGGCAAGAAACATAGAACTGGTAGATTTTAAGACAAATTTAGACAAATCTTACATTAGGAGTTAGAGGAATGTGATGGTAGCTCTTCATAAATCCAGCAACAAGTTTCCTAAAGTTTAGACATCCAGCTGGTGGCTCACAGGGATTTGACTTATTCTCTTTCAGAAAACTAGCAAGGTATGCTAGGAAGGGAATTTTTTCGTCAGCTACAGAATCGTCGTCAAAGGATAAATCAAGGGAACTGCTGACTTCATGGAATCCATCTTTAAGAAACTCAAATATTTTCTTCACCTGAAAGTTCAATAATCAGAGTACTACTCAAACTGCCACATTATTACTCTTATTAGAAATCATTAGGGAACACAAAGTAACCTGGTTGGGCTGGCGAAGTTGACAGCTATACACAGACAAAGCATGTGAAATGCGGCCACCAGATTTCAAGTATGCCCAGGCTGTGCGAGCACAGATAGGCTGATCCCCAACAAGATCCATGAAGAACTCGAAGCGATGTCTGCTATTTTTCTCAATTTCAACCAAAGCTGAAATATCTGTGTCAGCAGCCTGCAAGCAAACCAATTAATTAGTAACGATGCTGAACAAAATAAAGCATCAAGAAATAGATGAAACCATAGGCCCTAGAAGACCGAAACCAGAACATACTACAGACACGGAAAATATTCTAGTGTGCCACAGCCTTACTACCTGCATAATTTTGGTTTGCCAGAGCTTAGTGATGCGAAATCCACGCCGTCGAAATAGACGTTCACAGACACCCTGTCCTGGTCGACCTCCCATGTTGAATACCATAATACCTGAAGGCTTTATGACAGATATCCCTTCTTCCACCGCTCGTGCAATCAACCCAAGGCCAAATTGGTCCTCGACGAAACCCTGGATGCAGAAAGATATCAATGTCAGCAAACAAGGAAATTAGAATAATAGAAGTAAATATTGACTTGGGGAAACCTACATGCAACATTTTTAGAAAACACTGTTAACTACTTAACTTCAACTCTGATAGAGGATTCAATACATCCAAAATTGTTACAAGATATTCAACTTGCATGGATCTTAGAACCGCAACACAAATAAATAGCATTGCTGCAGTTGCTAGCACTTTATCAATAAATTTCAGATACACCATTTCGAGAAACAACATGCCATACACTTAACATGGTGTTTAGATGTCTATTGTTAAAATGCACACAGCCAAAAATGTAGCTACAAAGTAAATAGTGCATAAATAGATTTACTCTGATCCAAAACTCCAGATCAACATATAACTTGAAGACAAACCATTATAGTTAAATAGCATGTCTTAGGTTTCATGCATCTGACTCTGTTTGTTTTGATCGAGAGACGAATATATGAAAGACATCCTCCAACTAACCTGAAGAGCACAGTAGTTACTCAAGGAGTACAAGAACTCCTCACTTGAATTTTCTGTTACAATCTTTGACATCGCCTCTGGATTTGGGTTGAGAATCTGAAATAAAGATATAGTGGAAGTAATTTCCCTCTTTTTTTTATCTCACCAAACATGGGAACAATTGACTCTTGACTGTA